TCTTTATAATTTTGAGAGAGAGAGAGAGAGAGAGAGAGAGAGAGAGAGAGAGAGAGAGAGAGAATACGTGAGATATAAAGCATATTTACTTATCTCGTTTTTGTATCAATATTGTACACTAGCTAATACCCAGTTAAGGTCTTTATGTCTGCTTAGTTTACTAAAAAAAAGTTTTAAATATATTTAGAATTTTATTTTTTAACTTATTTTTTACGGGTCTTAAGCATTGATTTACGATTAGTTTACAGTAACTGATGGTAACTGTAGTTTTGATTTAATACTATAGATTTATAATATAATTAAATTATACACTCTTTGTGAAAAGTTAATCTTAATAATTGAATCGAAAAATTTAATTAAGTTTTTCTTCTCAATTTTCACTTCTATACAGTTAACTATTTCAACGTTTTTTAGTTTAATATCAGTTATACTTAACATTGAAACTACAAAAGAACTCATTTTGAAAAGTGCTTGAAATCAAAGGGAATTAAATAAAAAAGGGATTATTTGAGTGATTGTATTGAGAGTCTGAGAGGGATATAAAGAGAGAAAGAAATAATGAATGAATGGGAGAGAGAGAGAGAGAGAGGGAGAAACCCAACATTAATTATATTTTCGATTTGATTGACAATAACCATAAGCCCTTTTAATGTCGTTTGATAGTGTGGTCAGTTGTTAATTGTAAATACCCATTACAATATGTCATACCAACACAAATCACNAGAGAGAGAGACCATTGAGAGGATGGAGAGAGAGAGAGAGAGAGAGAGAGAGAGAGATCTATTCACTTTCTGTGTGTTGACACATATGGAGAAAATGGTCTAATTTTCTATATGTTTTCATATTATGTTATTTTTTATCATGTGTTCAACAAAAACACAAAAATATTAAACCTAAAGAAATATATCGTTAAAGAGATAAGTGTTTCGCCAAAGAAGAAGAAGAATAACACAATGAATAAGAAGAAAATGAGTCCAAAAATATCTCATAAGAGAGACATATCTATCGGAAAATGTAATTCATTTCAACAAATTTTTTTCGGGGAAAACTCTATAGGAATTTATCGTCAATTTTCACTCAACTATTTTCCTAACCCAACGATTGTGTAATCCGTTTATAATGAAGTAAATCGGTGTTGCCATAGAAAAGCCCATGGACACATCATTTTACCCTGATTACACTCAAGCCAATAAGTTATTGGCAATAACCATGCTCATTGTTGTATTGCAATCACTCTGATAATAGACTACAGGATTTACCATTAATTTGGTAATCCATTGCTAGACTGTATTGTAAGTCATTGTGATTTTTACCATTATATTTTTTCGGAGTAAAATGTCTTTTTAAATCACTGGCCATATCATCAGCAGACATGGAAATAATATAATATGAATGTAAAAGTGTTTTTGAAAAATAGTAGGAAATTCTGTGCATTTTTTGCTGTGTGTTAGAAATGTTGAGTCAAATAAATCATTGTTAAATTGGCACCAAAATTATATACAAAAATACATATATGTAATAATTCAGTCACTCTCCCCAACTCAATATGACATTCATTCACATATAGTGTACTCTACAGTAGACCGTAGTTAGTCTCTCTCCTGACTCTCTCTCTCTCTCTCTCTCGATTGATAGACAGGGCATTGAAAATACAAAAAATAGCAAAAGCTTTTAGTTTTTATTATTTTCTCCTCTCATTCTTCATATTTCATAATTCCTTTGCTCTCTCTCTCTCTCTCTCTCTCTCTCTCTCTCTCTCGAAAACTTCAAAACACAACCACTTATGGCCTAAAGTCAAATGCAATTCATTTTATACAACTGACTGTCAAAAGTTATTAGCGATTAAAGCAATTTTAATTTATATAAATATAATTGTGTTTAATGTTATATATAATGGATTTTTATATTATTGATGTTTTTTGAGAGAGAAATTACATTTTATTTTTGCTTTTTTATAGCAATTAATATAATATGAAGTATTTTATCTGCCGATAAAACAAACAAAACATTTAAAATATTTTCCGATACTTTTGATTATCTCTTATGTTATACACAAGTCTTGAGAGTATTTGAAAAAATAGTTAATTTTGTTATTTTTATTTAAACTAATTTTTCACATCAATTATAAATTAAATCGTTTTTTCTTAAACAGACATTCATTTATACATTGAAAAAGATATTTATATTTAATGTATTATTTTTGCGATTATATTAATATTCCGTTGACTTTCGCAACGATTTTAGTATTATTTAAATATTTTGTGAGAAAAATCAATGGCTTTTCGCCGGAATATTACGCCAAATATTTTTGATATGAATTTTTCAAAAACTCAAAACCGATTTAATATGTTTGACATGTATTTCAAATATGCACTCATTAAATGCAAAACATCTCTCTCTCTCTCTCTCTCTCTCTCGAAAACTTCAAAACACAACCACTTATGGCCTAAAGTCAAATGCAATTCATTTTATACAACTGACTGTCAAAAGTTATTAGCGATTAAAGCAATTTTCAAATACATAGCAAAATGTGTGTTCAATAACTAAAAATGTATTTCTAGTGGAGAGAGAGAGAGAGAGAGAGAGAGAGAGAGAGAGAGAGGAGATGGAAAAGACTATAACTTCCTGAGCGATCAGAGCGCCGGGCGATGAAATATTTTTCTCTATTCTCTCTCATTTAATGTACAATTTTTTGCCAAACATTTCGCTCTCTCAAAAAAATTTCATCAAAGAGAGAGAGAGAGAGAGAGAGAGAGAGAGAGAGACTGGTGTTGTCGTCAGTGAAACAAAAATAAAATTCTTGTTTTCGTAGCACTTATTCATTTCAATGGCTCCACAAATATATGAATGCCTTTTCTAACTGTATTCCTCTCTGCCTTCTGTCTGTTTATTATTATTATTTCCCACTTATTATTACTGATTTAATTATACAATTCATTAACTCAATTCATTTACTCCTCAACTTTACACCACTCTCTCCCGCGACTCTCTCTCTCTCTCTCTCTCTCTCTCTCTCTCTCGTATATAAATTCTTAACTTTTGTGAATTGTGTGAAACCCACGAATCGTTTACACACTTTTCACACCTATTCCTCTATTCCTTAATCCAAAAGTCCAACAAATGATTGGAATTATTGTGTTTTGTGTACTTTTTGCTATACCTTTACTACAGTTGTATGTGTTGTGTGTATGCACTGGCCATAGGGTGTATGACATAGTGTATGTATTGCCGCCATTTCCGACCCTACCCTACAATTTGTGACAATCAATTGTCAAGAATTCTATTGTTAGAGAATAGTATAAAAATCGTATTAAAATACTTCTCTTCACTTCTCTTCTGTGGCGTCCTTTCGCTCTCCTTTCATGAATCATATATATTGAGAGCACTTATGGCATGACTTTCTCGGTTCAAAACATACCGTAGACCTGATCCACAGACTCCAACTCAGCTCACACTTAGCCGAGAGAGAGAGAGAGAGTCGCGGGAGAGAGTGGTGTAAAGTTGAGGAGTAAATGAATTGAGTTAATGAATTGTATAATTAAATCAGTAATAATAAGAGTCACAAATTGTAGGGTAGGGTCGGAAATGGCGGCAATACATACACTATGTCATACACCCTATGGCCAGTGCATACACACAACACATACAACTGTAGTAAAGGTATAGCAAAAAGTACACAAAACACAATAATTCCAATCATTTGTTGGACTTTTGGATTAAGGAATAGAGGAATAGGTGTGAAAAGTGTGTAAACGATTCGTGGGTTTCACACAATTCACAAAAGTTAAGAATTTATGAGAGAGAGAGAGAGAGAGAGAGAGAGAGAGAGCATACATGACATATCAAACAAAAATATAAATATTCAAAAATATGAAAAAATTTTTGATGAATCGCTTTTTGTGTCGGAGGAGTGTTTTTGCGGAGACCTTTTGGTGAAAGAGAGACCTCTCTTAAGGAACCGCTAAGGAGTGACCTCTCATTGTTTGCACAATAAAACTCTTCTTTCAAAAGAGTAAAACTTCGGGTTTTTTGAGTAACTTTTTTATAGGAGAAAAGTGTCGCCTCTTTTCCTGACATTTCCTAATTGTTTGCGTCTTTCGTGTCGTGTCTTAAGAATAGACTGTTTTTCGCTATTATTTACTCAAAAGAGAATTTGATTTCCATTTTTAAGGCATCGAAACTAATGTTTGCATTTCTGCCGAAAACGTGTATTTATTTAATTTAGTTTATTATCAATTAGAGAGAGAGAGAGAGAGAGAGAGAGAGAGAGAGAGATTAAAAATAGTTTTTTGACGAGAAAAAAGAAGTGGAAAAGTCTTAATCTTTTATGAAAAATTGCCAAAAAGTTTTTGCGCATAAACTGTGCGATGAATTAATTTTTCTCTCTTACTCTTTAAAAAATGATTGGTTTATAAGTTTAGTTCACTTTATTTTTTATTTAATGAGTCCATGGATTTGAAATATGCTTTGAAGTGAAGTGCAGACAAACTTAGATTTTCCTTATAATAGGAGAGAAAACACTTTTAGCTGTGAATACTGAGAGAAAACTCAGAGAGAGAGAGAGAGAGAGAGAGAATTGGATTCTATTCAACAGAACCTCTGGTTTTAAAAGCCAAAAATTTTAAAACTTAATTCTAAGCAAACATCACTCTAACAGACATTAAGTCAAATAAATTGCTATTTAATTGTTGAAACTATTGGATAAATACAAAATTGATTGAAAATCTCACATTAATCCTTATTTAACAAAATAAAACTAAATAATAATAAATAAGGATTTTTATAAATAAATTCAAAGAATACGAAGGAATTTACGACATTTTCAGGAATAGTGTTATAAGTTATAAGTTTTGGCATTTTTCGTCAAATTGATGTCTAAAAAGTATTCTCTATTCAGACACGGCTTAGACTGAAATTGTTATAAATATATGCTTTTAAATGTGAGCTCAGAGTTGTTGAGAGGCAGTGATTATGCAATAAATAGATAATCGTCTGAAACGATGAGAGACATCACTATATATAAGTTTATATACCATTTCTATCCGATGGGTATTTATATACCAATATATAAATCGAAATATATTTGAAGAATGTGTAAAACACAACAAAATAGTTGATTATATGGGAAATATTTGTGGCAGAAATTAGAAACAGAATCTAAGCTTTTAATAATTATTTACAAATGTCTTCAAATTACTCGATATCTCCCCCGCAATCGCTGAAGAAAAATAAACACATATTTGCCATCATTTTTGGCGAACAGAATAATCCCAAACCCATTAAACAGTTAAAGCATTGAATGATTTATTCCTAATAATAAAAATGCGAAACACATAATGAATGGCAAATTGAATGCAATATTTGGTTATCGATACAAATATGTGAATTATTTTAATTGAAATATGTTTCCCATTGAATGTATTGAATAGAGAGGACGAGTGAAGTGCGAACAAGAGATATGTCCCAAATTGAATTGCACCGAACAGACCACCATCACTGGCTCCTGTTGTCCCGTCTGTGCCAATCAATTGGGTATGAATTCAATTATTATTACCAATAATAGACACATGATATACGAGATCTGTTTTTCTTGTAACATTGAGTCCACAAATCATTTCCTTTTATATGTAATAATAACAATGATATTAATATATTGTTTTTGTTATTGGCGTCAAAAACCATCACATCATCAACAGATCCGTTGAACGCAAACAACACATCGACAAAAGGATGTTATTTAGAGGGGGACAAGAAATTTCATTTAGCTGGCAGTCGATGGCACCCATATCTGCCACCATTTGGTTTCGATAAGTGTTCGCTCTGTACTTGTCTGGTAATTGAATACTAAAAGCATTCATACATTCATTTATTATTATTGTTATTATCATTAATCACTTAATCAATGCTCGCATTTCACCGCAATTGTTGTCTCCATATATATATTTACTCAATTCCTGTCTCTATTGTCTCATATTTAGGCCAATTCGTTGACAATACAATGTGAGCGCAATATTGAGTGTCCGGCCCTTACATGTGCTGAACAGGAAGCCTATCGCGAGAATCCGATGGATTGCTGCAAACGCTGTCCCAGTAATTCAATGTCTTATATATTGAAATTAATTGAATCTTTAATTTATGGCTTTCTCCCTATCATTGCCTTTCTCTCCCTCTCTCGTCGCTATTGTTTGTCATATCAGATGCACTTCCAGTCAAATCGATTGTGTCGGTCGACCAGTTGGGAGACCAGAGATCTATCGGCGGTGTAATGAAAAGTCCGCACGAATTGATGGCATTGGGAGGTATTGTGTGCTAAGCGCTAATTAAGCGTTTATATTCTGATCCATTGTTTTCTTAACTGTATTTTTGTGTTCATTGTTGTGATAAATAGGCTGTAAATTCCGGGGAAGAGTGTATCCAAACGGTGATGAATGGCATCCGACTGTACAGCCATTTGGCGAAGTAAAGTGTGTTAAGTGTCGCTGTAAGGTATGTATTGGACAGACCAGACATTGACAACAGATTATATTATATTTAATAATTGTTATGCAGTTTTGGCTCCAAAATAAAAACAACAATAAATTTAACAGAGAATTAGCGGTTAAGATACCGATGGATAGTATATTATTGTTATATAAGAGAAAAGTAATAAACATTAAGTAATAATAAAGATAAAGAAACACTTACTCCTAATATGTTTATCATAAATATTGAATTAATATAAATATTATATATATTTTGATAGTAATATCCAATTTTTGACAAATGGTGTGTTAATTCATAACGAGAGAGAAAATTAACGCACTTTTCCTTATCATAGGTTTATTTGTTTAACAATTGTTTTGTGAGCCGACAGTAATATAACTGTTAGTTTGAATTTTCGCAAACGATATAATAATTTATTTGTGTTTTCATTTCACGGCATTCTGTCGTCGACTTTATAATTATTAATACAATTATTATTTTATTTGTTTGACTGATAGGACGGCCACTCGAAGTGCAAGCGTATTGTTTGCCCCAAAATAACTGCCTGTAGTATTGTTATCAATAGGAATAACGAATGCTGTCCGATATGTGCTGATGATATGGGTATGCATTACCACCACTTCCTATCATTACATCCATATATCACTTCTCAATCACCACATCATTGCATGAAAACACATATTTTTGTACCCAAAATAGGCTAATCACTACTTATACCATAAATATTACTTATAACTAGACGTGTGTCAGAATTAACTACATTCTTCTATTCTAACAACTAGATATTAGTTTAAATGCAATATGATTAAACTTGCAATTGTATAACATTAGGACCGAATATATTTGAAATTTTAATTTTTTAAATCACAATTTACACAACATTTATACTTTTTGTTGATTATAATAATAATTGCTAACTAATATTGTGATTGCATTTGATTGGCCAATAGATGGTATGATGATGAAGAATCAACCGGAAAACCCGGTCCACCACAGGAGGAATAAGGGCAATAAGAGGCGGAGGAATAATCGTCGGGCTCTTCACAGAAAGTCGCAAAGAGTTGATACGAATGCTGACAAAATGGTCGCTTAAATCGCTATATAATCAGAACTCTTAATAATTGAATCTGAAATACAAAATCATATAATAATGTTAATGAAAATTCAACGCCAAACTAATAATACACGAGTTATAACCAGTATTTGAGTCACGCATATAAAAAAGCATACATATTATCATTGATCGGAAATATGGTTTATGTGTTTGATTTTGAATCCATTTGTATTGATTGTCAACGAATTGTTTCGGGGTTTTTAACAAAAACAAAATCGCAAACTGTTTTTTACATAATATTTATCGCAAATCACATTCAGATCTAACTTTGGTTACAATTCTGTTGACAATAACAGCGAAACAAACAAAATCTATATATAAATGTGTCAATTGTTTTGTCAAAATGTCTTATATCCTATGAAATTGAAATACAAGTGAAGTATGAAAATAATTGCGAATAAAGCCTAAGAGAAAAGACATTTTTTAAATGTAAAAGAAAGTCATAACTTTTTTGTTCATTAAATTGTTTACATATTTTACTTTTCACATCATTTATTACTTAATAATCTCTAAACTATTGAAAAATCTAATCTGTTTAATGTTTTAATTTATTTGTATTAAACAACTCTATTCTCTCATCTCTACATTTATTTTAAAGAATATTCTGTAAAATTTAAATACTGTTACAAATCTACAATAATATGAATTCTGTAAATATTTATTATATACAAAAATACGATTTGATTTTTTTTGTTGAAAACATTGTGTTTTCTTTTAAATTTCTTTTGTTTTTAGAGCTTTTGAAATAAAATCCCAATCAATTGTATTAAAAGAAATCATAAATAAAGTCAATTCTCATTGAAATAGTGTATAAATTCTGGTAAATATATTAATTCATAGTAAAGAGTAAACACAAACCCCACGGAAATAATTTCCAAATGATTGCATCGTTTGTCTCAACAGAGATGGAGTGCTTTTGGCATCAGATATGACTTCAATAGACGGCTCACTCACTCTCTTGAGGCACAGAATATTCTTCGTTAATAATCATGAAATACAAGAGTTTGTAATAGAAAACCATAAGCGATGAGGAAATATGTATTTTGACCAACAATTTCTCACAAATACATTACAACAAAACACTAATTGTATAATAAATAATATACGGATAAAAGGGATGATAAAGTTACAGGTGTAGAGGCAGAGTGAGAGAGAAACTATGGAGTTGCTATAGTGACACTGGTCTTGGCCATAACTTTGATGATGGTCGTGTGTTTGTACTTTACATGTCGTATGGAAACTCTATGGTATGGTATAAAGTAGTATTGGACTGACTCTATGGACAAAAATAGCATAAATACAGTACTGTTTGTTTGAAAGGCTTTGGGAGACAGAAAGGGAATGAACTTATAGTTAATTTTTCACTAAAATCATGTTTACTATTGCCTACACTTTATACGGACGATACTGACGACCGCTAACAGTAAACTACTGTACAGTATATTTGTGTCCATAAGGGCAACACTTTATGCAACACAAACTTATTGTTTGAATAGAGATAAAGAGACGAAATAATAATAATATTATCAAAAAAGTATTCAATTTCTTATTAAATGATTTTGGTTTGAAGTTTCTGTTTGTATTTTTCATCGATTTCTTAAACATATTTTATTTTGTCTTACATTTTCTCTTTTCATCACATATTAAGAAAAGAAATGCAAGCGTTTGTAAAGTTTCCTCTAGTTTTGATCCATATATAAGGGCACAGAATGTCATACATATATATTGAATAAATCCACAGAATATTCTGCTATTTGTATATACAGTATATATGGGTGACAGAAGATTAAAGTTTGTGTTTTTTTCGTTGACTGAATTTGTGCTTTTCTTATCACTCGTTAAATTAAACACTACTTTATTTGAGTTACTTTTTATATACCATATATGCATACAATATATGCATGCATTGTATTCAGTATATTCTTTAACAACAAATAAATATCAAAGTTTATGATAATATTAAATACTAAATGTATTTTAATACAAAATAATAAAATCGTGTTTAAATAATGCTATTTGTGTTACAAAAAACATTTGCCCTTTTATTGCATTTAAGAACAAATAGATATTATTTATGAATTGTCGTCAAGAAAACAGAAAAAACGCAAAACATTTTAAATTAATTCACTTTTGGTTTTGTGTCGCGAATCCAGTATTAAAACTGATATCATATATAAAAATATTCTGTAATAAGAAGAGCATATTTTTTCAATGATTGTGTATATATCTGGTGTGACAGCCGGTGCTTATACTCTATATACCAAACCATAGTTCTAACGATAAAAACTAATCAAACTCTTCTTAGAGTTCAGTTAGTTTTTTATCTAAGTTTTTGTTTAATGTTTTGTTATATTTTTTTGTGACAAACAATTCTTGTGGCAAATATTTTCAATGACAGTTCAATAACAAGAGGGGATTCTGTGACCACAATAATACAGACATCTGATGAGGTTATGGTATGCCATATACTGTGTATATATAAGAATCGGTGGTATTTGTGGTCATTTTTTGATAATTTTAGCAGAAAAACAATTTTCATTCCTTATTCTTGTGCACACAGAATATTCTCTGAAAGTATTATTATTATTATTACTTACTATTACTGACTATTTATTGCACACCAGTATTGCGTATGCGTTGAAGTGAAGTGTGTTTTCCAGTCGTCGTGTTTCCCAAAAGTCAATGTGTATGTAATACAAGACTCCCTCAGAGAGTGATGTTTTCGCTGAGACCTATCGGAGAGACACAAACACCACTATCTTTCGGAGCGAACTATCATTTGACTGATGAGAGGGAAAAGAAAGAGTGAA